CCTCTACATGTGCTTGCATGGTTTCGTGCCTCCAGACACACACACACACACACACACACACACACACACACACACACACACCAACACACACCCTCAGCCTGGGCCTTATGGATTAGAGTAGCTTCATCATGTTACCCTTTGCTCCACCCTTTAGTGCAGAGGCAGGGTGCCTTGTGCCTCTACCTAGAGAAAAAGGCCACTAGCTTGTGGTCTGAGTGTTTACACAACTTAAAGGGCTCCAGCTCTAAAGGCCAGCCCTGTCCTGGAAGCACAGCCTGTCCTGGAAATGAAGAATTGTCTTCTTAACACAGCTAGCTGCTCTGTTCCTGTGCATATACTAGAGCTCAGGGATATTGGAAGAAGGAATTCCAGAAACTTCGCTCCAGAAAAGACCAAATTGTTTTCCAATTAGTTCATGTTCATGACCGATTTCCTGCCGTCTGGTGGAAAACACTGTTTAGTCTCCCAGACAGCCACAGACCTGCCACCACCAGGGACTGTGCCACTTAACTGGATGGAAGAGGACAGATTAGGAAAGTTCTCCAGCTCAGCTGCTCACTGCTAAATTCTCCTGATCAGAGAAATAGGAAATTGATTCAAAGAACTCTGCCTTAGGAGAGGCAGTTTGAGTGTGATAGAACAGTTACCTCGCATGCATGAGGCTCTCAGTTCAGTCTCCTGCAGTTTGGGGGGGTGGCGGTGGGACTTAGTCTGACTTCTCTCATTCCTTCTTGCCCTTGAAATATCATTTCCTCTTGAGAATTTTGTGCAGGCCTGTCACGGGGGAAGACACTTATTCTCTATTATTTCCTTACACCTAGAACAACAGTCCATGTCCAAAGAAGACTATGTGTTGCATCATGGGAATGGGTCATTTATAGTCCAGATTGACAGGACCAATAGGTGGTTCAGAAGGTTAGTTATCTTTTAGAAGGAGTCACCTGGTGCTACCAGTGAGCCTCCCACACTTTACCCTGTGAGGCTGCTCTCTATGAACCTGAAGTGTTCAGTCTCACAACACTGCAACTTCACAAGTCACTTAGCTGCCTTCTCATGAAGTGTGTTCTTAGGAAGAGATAGGTGGTGGTGGGTGGTGCTGAAAAGGACTTGAGTGAAAAAAAATATATATCAGCTTGATATTTTCTTCTCCATTCTAGGCTCAGGTTACTATCCAGATGAAAGCTACAATGAAGTATATGCAGAAGACATCTCAAGAAATCGTGCCCTGGACTACCGAGGTAATCCTTCTTCATTCTCACCCTCAGGGAGGCTTTTTTCTGGCCTTCCCTGAACCATCCTCATCCATGTTTAGCTCATATGTGTCAAAATTGCAGCACAGAGACTCATCAGAGACTGTGATTTTTCTTTGTGATTGTTTTTTGTTTGTTTTTGCTTTTGCTTTTGTTTTGTTTCTAGGCATGCTCTCTACCACTAAGCCCACACCATCTTGTATTGTTTGTTTCTTTCTTGAGACAGGATCTCACTATGTATCCCAGGACAGCTTTGAATTCAAGATCCTCCTGCCTCAGCCTCTCCAGTGCTGGCATTACAGGTGTGCACCTTCATACCCAGCAGGTGTGCTGTAATTTCTAAACACAAACGTGGTGGCTGGCCAGCTGTGTGGCTTTATCTCCCTAGCCTGAAGGCTGCTCCTCTACTATGAGTCATTAAGCATTGACTGAGTGCCTGCTCTAATAGCCTAATCCTGCGCAGGATAAGCCTGTGGGAAATGCAAAGTCTAAGGCAAGGTTTTGCTCTCCTCAAAGGTCTTTCATTCTGTTGAGGGTAAAAAGAAGATAAAGTTAGCACAGATAGAGCAAGTAAGTGTGCAACTGTGTGGTAGTAAATGTGCTAAGAGTTTAAGACAAGGAATTCAGGAAAGAGGTCATGAAAGATGACTTTCAGGCTAGGCCTTGAATGATGAGTGAGATTTTGTGAACAGAAAAGGTGATGCCTTTTTGCCAAAGCACATGGCCAAAGAAAGATATGGAGGTAAAAACAAACCCATTGCACTAGGGAGCTAAGAAGAAATCATGCTGACTAGTAGGAATGGAATGTGGATGGAGTAACAGAATAGAGTTGAAAATAAAGAATGAGATCAGTTAAGCATGGTGGCACATACCTTTAATGCCAGCCCCCAGGAGGCAGAGACAGGCAGATCTCTCTGAGATTAAGGCCACCCTGGTCTACATATCAAGTTCCAGGCCAGCTGAGGCTACAGGAAGACCCTGCCTCAAAAAGAAATTGAGATCAAATTAGGAAAGGCTCCATGATCTAGGGGGTTCTTCTAAGGAGAGTGAGATGAATGCCAAATAGGGATTCATATATTAGAAGGCAAGTTAGTTTGGATGTCTAATATGCCTTCAACTTATGATTCTTTGTCTCCAAGCTTTCCTTGTCAAGCACACAAATGAGTTTAGCTTTTATAGTAGATGCTCTAAAGAGTTATCACATTTTTTGAACAGGAGAGTGACACTGTAAAAAGTAATTTCAAGGTATTAACTAGGTTATTCTGTTCAGAAAGAAAGGATTGGGAGAAGTAGAGCCTGAGTCAGGGAGACTCTCCAGAAACTAGTTACAGTAATGGGATCTAGAAATATTTGAGTCTAGTGGCAAATAAATGAAGAGTAAGGATGAACGCCAGAGAGATTGGGGTATAGAGTGCATGCCTGCAAGGTAAAGGGATCTCCTAGTTGTGATCCCAAGAACCAGAATAAAAGGATGTACCCCCATAGATGTTTCAAAGAAGGAGATGGTAAGATTGGGTACAGATTTGATGTACCAAGGAGCTAAGAAAGAAAGGACTACCAGAGACAATCCTGTATAAATACCCAGGAGAACTAGAGGAATGTTCTGAGAAAGACAAGTTAAAAAAAAGAAAACTAGGAGCCAGCAAGGTGGTTCAGCAGGTTAAAAAGTGCCTGCCACCAAGCTTGACAGCTTCCTCATGCCCACACACATGCCCACACACAAAATAAATAAAGAAAAAGAAAACTATTTTGGAAAGCTATAGAACAGATAGTTGGAAGAAAAAGATGGAGTTTCCTCCACTTAGATGAATGGGCTATCTGAAGAACCAGAGAGCCGAGGACGAAGCCTTAGAAGACATTGTTAGATACGAGTAGGAGAAAAGGAGCCATCAAAGGAAAGAGAGCTAATGGCCAATGTGGAAAGGAGACTGCGTACCATATTACAAAAGCTACATACAAAAATTTAGAAATATGTAAAGGGTAAGGGATCCACTGAGTCAAATACTGTAAAGAGATTGAACTGAAGGTTAGAAAATATTTTAAGAAGGTAGTAAATGGGAACCTTTGAGGAAATAGTTCAAGTACAGAAACCATCCAAGCTTTGAGCTCTTTTATACTTCTTTCTAGCTATCTTTCCCTCTCTCATCTTCTCATTACTAACTGTGCATACCCAGTGTCTCTGCTTCTAAACTCCCTGCAATCTGTTTTCCCACCCACCCACAAATCTCCAGCTGAAATAGCACATCTTGAAACTGACAGTTCTCTCCCTCTTGATGACCAAATCCCATGGCCTTGAGTTTCAGTCTCCTCAGTCCATCGAACAGCAGTAAGCACACCCTTGTCTTCTTCATACTTCTTCCTTGGCATCCATGATATTTCACTATTCTGATCATAGTTGAAGCTAAGATAGAAGATGGACTGTCTGGTAGTGACCACAAAGAGAACTAAGCTAGGATCTGAACTTTGGGAAACCCTGACATCTGGAGCTCCTGGACTGCATCTCTAACACTGCTAGACACATCTATTTGGAGATGTCTAAAATGGAATTCTTTCATCTTATCTGAAAAAAGTTTCTACCACCTGAGTCTTCTCCATCTGATAATGCTACTATCATTCTCTTAGTGACGCAGACTTCAAAGTATCTCAGTGTAACTTCTAATATCCGCCATTGTATTTAAGAACCCTCTTTTCCGCATCATTTCTCATTAGTCATTAACCAGGACCTGTCATTTCTGTATTAATCCATGGGATTAGATTTTTTTTTACTTCATACATGAATAATAGCAAGTATCACATATGGATTCCTTGGCTCATGTTTCTGCATTCCCCAAAACTAGTGACCCACTAAGATCATTTTAAATCAAAATATGGCCTCATGTCCCAGCCTGGCAACTTCTTACCCTACCTCTTAGCCCCACATGAAATCTGTGCTTTAGCCAAGCTGGTGTGTACTACTGTGTTTTTCTACCAAACTGCTTTAGCCCACACTGAACTTTCCCTCACACAGTCATTCTGGTTTTTTCCTTATTACATTATTTATTTATTTATTTATTTATTTAGCTAGCTAGATAACTAGTTAGTTAGTTAGTCAGTCAGTCAGTCAGTTAGTCGGTTAGTTGGGGAATATGCCACAGCTCATGTGTGGATATCAGAGGACCACTTGCAGGGGAGTCGGTTCTCTTCTTACAATATGTGAGTCCCATGGATTGAATTCACATGGCATAACTGGCAGCAAGTACCTTTGCCTGTTTGGCCATCATGATGTTCCTCATTCTTTGATTATCTACTATGTCCCTCTTCTGAAATTAATGTTCATTTATTTAGTTTATTAGTCATTCATTCATTTATTTGCCTAGACTACTCATCTCACCTTCATCATGTACTGGTCTTTGTTGGTCTACCGTTTATTGCTCTCATCAGAATGGTTATTTATTAACCAACAGGAGCCATACTCTTTTCATCTGCCTAGATTTTGACTGTTGGCCTCCTGGGAACAGAAGCCATATTTTAGGAGATTGAAAATGAGAGAAGCAGACAATAGAAAAACAAGTTCAAAAAGTACTTCTTTATGTGTTACTATGAATCTCATGGGTCTCATGCATGCTACGTAAATGCTCTACCATTAAGCCCTGTGGTTACTGTTAACCTTTCTCATTGGTTAGTTTTTAAATTTAATTTATTAATTAATTTTTTATTTTATGTGTATGATTATTTTGCCTGTATGTATGTAAGTGCACCACATGAGTGCAATGCCCTCAGAGGCTAGAAGAAGGCATCAGATTCCCTGGAACTGGAGTTACCAAAAGTTGTTATCTGACATGTGGGTGCTGGGAACCAAACTCAGGTTCTCTGCAAGAGGAGCCAGTGCTCTTCACTGCTGACCATCCCCCCAGCCACCTCATTGGTTATTTTTACATTAGCAAAAAGACCTTGAGAAAATTATATGTCACATAGTGATCTTTGCCTTGGTGCCTAGTGTCCTGTAACTCTCTTTGGAACTTTGGTCTCCAGGCCTAAAACAAACTAAACGAAGTTATCAATGATGCAAGGGAAGGAGTGGCTAGCAGAAGTACACCCTGAGGTTCCAGCATGCCTTGTAATCCTTTGTGACCTCATAATCACTTTCTCTGCAACTATACCATATAAGTGCTTCTTGTATTTAGAGATGATGTCTACAAATGGAAGTCATGCCAGAAATGGAAGTCACAGCATGTTGGTGGTTGAAGACAGATGAAGTAGGGGCTCCAGGCCAGACACCAATTTAGAGAATATCACAATGGAGAGTAGATATTTTATACATGTGATTTCATTTTATTTTTACCACAGTGACATGGGACTGCTTTATTCCCTCCCATTTTACAGACAGGAAACTAGACTCAAGAATGTTAAATTTAGAATGACAGAACTTAAGGCAGCAGAGCAGGAATTTAAACCCAGGTCTGTCTGACTATGAAGCCGCATGCTTATTCCATCCCTTTCATTAAATTGTAACTGTTTTTTTAAAAGATAGAAGGGTGAGATGGCTTAGCAGACAAGAGCACTTGCTGCTCTTGCAAAGGACCAGGGTTCAGTTCCCAGAGACCATATAGCAGTTCTCAACCGCCTGTGACTCCAGTTCTAGGGAAACCAATCTCATCTTCTGGTCTCTGCAGGCACATCATGTATGTGATATACATACAAACACACAGGCAAAATATTCAGACAGATAAAAACAAATTTCTTTAAGGTTAAAAAGAAGAGATAAGTAAAAGGCATATACTATTTTATGTAGTTTGATACTATCTGTAAAAATACATTTTCTCTCATTCTCTTATCTGGACAGCTAAGCAATTGCCTCACAGTTTGCTCAGCCCTGAGCAAACTAGTCAGTGCCTGTGTTATCTGAAGTTAACCACAGAGCAGGCCTTTCCACCCTGTTGGTGGACTTTCTCTTCCTTATGTGCCCAGAAAAAAAAAAAAAAAGCCTTTCCAGCTTCTTGACTCTAGAC